ACTTCAAAATATTCCGACATGGAAGCAACCAAACACGCCCGTCGTTCATCGGGATCATATGACACTTCTGACGAGATAACTCAGCACGAACCAAAATTGAAAATGGAGCAAGCAGCCCCTACGTTACCTCCTATTGAGGCAAGTGAATCTATCGAGCTTCCACACCGAACAGGCTCCAAGAGCGACACGCACGAACAAGGAAACTCCCTGACACTTCCACCCACTATTCCCCGCAAAAGCTCTAAACGGTACTCCGCAGTCGACATGGCAGACCGAATAATCGAACCTGAGGCCGGAGCTGGACATGGAGTGGACGTCGAAGTCGCATCCCAACCCATTTCTTCTGAGGAAATTAAACATGCCGACAATCCTGATATTCTTGTCCAACCATCTTCACAACCAACCACCGCTCAAGCCACTCGACTCCCCTTCAGCTCCAAACCCTCTTCAGTGCGGAGTGAGTTCGTCTCTACAAGATCAGCCAATTCTAGTATTCAGAACACGACGGACGACGAAAACAACAACCAAGGGCAAAAACGGCGAAGCTCGAGGCCCTACTCGCCTTCCCGTCGTAACCAAGGCCGGCCGTCGAGCATGGGATTCGTTCAGATGCATCGGGCAAGCGATCATATACACGTCACTGACACTTTGCCGTTTTCCGAAAGCACGGCGGAGATCGTGAGCGATCCTCCTGTTTCACCTGTTTCACCTGTCTGACTTCTGCCGCCTTAGTCTCGTTCCAATATCCCGTCTCGTTCCTGAGCCTACAGATATAGCTGCGCTCCTCTTATCCCATCTGGCCTCCGTGGTCTTCACGTCTATCAAATTTCTCTCTGCTCCAACTCTTTCACCGGATGAAACTAATTATGGAATGCGTTTTGCCCCTGTATTCAGCTATCTAATAGGTCAACGGGACTATAGACATTTTTCCCACTCATTTTCTATCCGTCTCTCTGTTTATCCACCTCTTCCGCTGATGATATCCGCTGTACTGAGACCTAAATCTAGGATCAGAGCTATTTCCGTCCATTTTTCTTTTCTTTTTTTTTTTCTTTTTCTTTTTTTTTTTTTTTTGAAAACAAAATTTCATTTACTACTCATTTAATCATTCCTCACACGATTAATATTATTTTTGACGAATTTTCTTTGGCTCCTCTTTACTACAGTTTTATGTTGTTTTTGAAAGCATTTTGAGGACGGCATTTCTTCTGAAGCGCTTTTTGTTCTTTATTTCTCTGCTCTCTTTCTCTCTATTTTTTTTCTCTCCCACTTCAGTTCACAAACCGTCATATTCTTATTGGCTGTAGTTGCGTAAAATGTGTACTGTGTTTCCTTCATCACTTGCTATTGGTTTTGTTTCACTCCTTGCCATTCTTCTGTTCACGTCACTGATCTG